TTGGTAATCAAGCTTTTAGTAACGGTATATAGATCTTTATCAGGAAATCTATTCCAAGGGTTATTTAATGCTTGTGATATCAAGGCATGGGCTGAATTTTTCGGTAAAATATGGAGGCGCAAGTGAGCTCGAAATTTCGAGTTTATGTGTCGAGCTCACTTTTTTTGACCCTCCAGAAGCCGGCATGTTTTCCACTCAAATTCGCCAGGATTCGCCAGGGATTTCGCCGGAATCTCTGCTCCAGGAATCCAGGCCGGAATTCAAAGGAAAATGGTCCGGTCGTTTCCTACCGGATAATACAATCGAACATACCCAGGTCGGCTAAAACGGATATCGTTACGGCGTCGTTTACGACCGTAATCGACAAGGATACGGAGTAATTACGCCCGTTTACGATGCAAATACGGCCGTATTTGCCAGTACCGTATACGGTGACGTAAACGGTCGTTAACGATGATTTACAGCGGCCGTATACGGGTAGTATTCTCTAGTGTTTACGGCAGTAAATGCATCGTTTTTCTAAAATTTACGGCCGCTTTTAATCAAAAGTTGGTTTGTTTTCACAAATTGATCCTTGGCCTTTATTTATTTTATATCAATTTTTTCTTTTCTAAAACGTAGTTTTCATAAAAATAGGCACATATAACAAAAAAAAAGCTTACGAGAACATTAAAAAGAAAAGAAAACAACCCTTTTTGTTCACATTTTAACATATGCACAATGTAAGACCACGAGAAAGAAACCACACAATGCATTTCAGACAAAACTAAAGACAAAACTTTCACACAAATCGTGGAGAAAATTACAAGAATATTTCGTATTTGAAGAGCGCCATCATAGAGAAATTTTTTCACAGAAAAAAAGTACAACACTGTAGAAAAAAAACGAATAACATAATTTGTTGTGACACATTTAACAGCTAGCTATAAACATGAAACTACATTACCCGTTTAATGCTGATGGTGATGTTGTTGGTATCAATATTTCGCTCCCTGTTGTTACTCTTGATATAGCGTCGCCACCTTGAATTGATGATTGCTACTGTGCCATAGGTTGTTTTGACTGTCGTCGCGTTCCTTCATTATAAATGCAATCGCTTAATGTCTTTTGTATCATTGTTGAATAAAAATTTGGATAAAAATTTTTGCTGATGCAATATTAGCTTCGAATCGCTTCTAGAAATAAAGAATCGTAACCAGCGAAATCTGTTGATCATGTACGTATATGTTTATGACAAAAATATACTATCATTCAGTTTGTTCCAACTTTCTAACCCTAGATAAAATTATTTTGAGAAGATCGAAAATGATCGTCTCTCGAAAAAATATGAGTACTCTAACTAATGTTAAGCTTATGAAAGCGAAAATAATTAAACGGGAAAGTTTTAAAAACTTACTGTTTAAAAGAGTAAATTTCTCTTCATCCAATGTCTTTTTCCTAAACAAATGAGCATGTCTTGATGGTAATACAGATTCTCGTAATTCAGTAGAAGTGAATAATCGTCGTAAAACGTTTCTAGTATAATCAGCTGGATCACGACTAGTAATGTTGAATAAGTTTTCACCTTTATAATCCTAAATAAACAACATAGGTCACTCTCACAACTGCAACATTACTCATAAAAATATACTCACAGCTGGATCTGTATAATTTTCTTTGTCGTTTACATCTCGATAAAAAGATAATTCTTGATTTTTCTAAAACAAGACCATCATCTGATATTAAATTCGGTTCTCTCAACTTTGATTGAAAGAGAAAATGTCGAAAAATAAATATGTCAGCGCAGGTGGCGCTTTACTCTATTTCGCCATTTTTTCTTTCAACCAAAGTTGAGAAAATCTCAAATTCAAATCCTTCACTTGTAAAACAATATTAAAAATACATACAGACGATGCAGAATTACAAAAACGATCCATTTTTTTTTGTTAATTTGGATACTTCTTCTTTTAATGTACGTATTAAAGATGTTTGATCTTCTTGTGCAGCTTGAAGACGACCTGAAAAAAAATTGTTTATAAATAATTATCGGTCGTCATTTCTATACCCATATATGAATCCATATTTGTATCGATACTGCAGTTATCATCGGTTGGAGCTGAATTTACTGAACGATCTATAAGGATGATTCGAGAACCATAGATAATGACTTGTATTGTAATAACAATCGTACTTATTGTTTCACGTCGTCGATTTTCTGACGACGATTTGGCATAATAATTTGAGTGCGTTGTACTATCTGAAGACGCTTGGCATGTACTTATTTTTGAATTAACTAAAATATTTTAGCAAGATATATATAAATAGGAAAAAATCTGAATGAGAAAATCTAAGAACGTACAAACTCGACGAGAAACAATTGGAGAAGCAACACCATCCATGGTCACATGGTTTCTGCGACGTGCAGCAGCTACGTGACAAAAAATAGTTATTTGAAAAAAAGATTCTTTTTCGACAAAAATGAACTCACGTGTTTGAAAACCTTTTGAAGGACATTGAATAAAAGAATTTGTGGAAGACAATTGTAGATCAAACGGTTGTTCGAGAATAACTTCATCTTCGTCGCTGTCCTCTTCCTCGTCGTCATGTTCATCGTCGTCGAAATTTTTGTTTTCTAAAAAACATGGCTTAAAATAAAAATCTTATCGAAAATTGATCACTTTTCAATGTTGGTTGTTGTAATTTCAATTCAGCACGACATTCAGTATAAATACTTAAAGCAGAATCAGAGTGAGATTTTCCAAGTTGAGAAAATGTTTAAATATTGCTTATCGGTTAATATTAATGCTGCTGATTCACCATTTTTTATTTCAACTTCACCACCCTTTTCCGAAATAACATCTGAACTTTTGAAAATTTTATATTGATTATCTTCATCAAAATAAACCAAAACAGATCGGTCTGATGTTGATGGCGAGAAAATTTTCTTTTTTGTTATTTTTCTTTGAGTTCGTTGTTGGTTAGTCGACGTTATATTCATTACTAGAAAAAATCAATCTAAAATAAAAATCAATAAAGAGATTCATGAGAAAGAAAAAACAAATAAAATATTTATCCTTCATGTTTCTAAGAAATAAAACAGAACTTGTGAAGTGAAGAAATATTTATTAATTAAGATATTTAGTCATGTTCAATGTAAGAAGAAACCGGTGTAACAAACAAAGAATTTTTCATTTCAATTACAATACAAGTAGATGAAATCCAATCGGTATGCACAATATCTGTTTGTGGACTATTTTTTTCCAATATGAGAAACAGATTGTTCAATGGCTTTTTCAATAAGCAATAATATTTTGATTTTCGAAAAAACTCACTGTACAATAATTTGATCGGATAATGTTCAATAGCAGCATATCCTTGGCTTCGATAAATAAAGAAGAATTTGATCATTCCAAAACGTCGTTGCTTAAGATCATTGTTAAATAGATATTGAACAAAGTAACTAACTGATTGTTGGCGCTTCTGATAAATTAAAGAATGAAATACACGTTGACAAATAATAAAACGACGATAAATAGCAATGCATGAATTCAATTGATCACATTGATGACATACAAGTGAATGACATTGATCGGCTTCTTCAAATTGATCGGCGTATTGGTCCATTATATCTTTTGGTCCATCAACTGTTGTTACTGGTTTCTTTTTATTATTAATAGAAAAATCGATGTTGAAGTAATGTGTAATTAACTCGCCGTAGTAACGGCTTCCGTGGTGATTGATGCTGATATTTCCGATCAAGTCCTCTTGACCGAAACAACCGATATTGGCCAATGAACCATGGTTTTTGTAGATCGTCGAATAGTGAACGTGAAGATGCAACACATAAATCTCCAATGCATCATAAAATTGTGGGTGATCTTCGTAAAATCTAGAAAAAAGTACATCACCAATTGTACCTGTTTCATCGCCAAATAAAGCTTGTCCATGTAATAATCGGATTGAGCAAACATAGAGCGCTAAATGCGCTAATTTTTCGAGCGGCAATAATGTTTGTAAATTTGGTAATAAACAATAAAATAGTAAACTTCTTAATTCGGTCGCTTTTACATGAGCAAACTCTGTAAAAGGTCTAACCTTCCTGTTAAAGAAGTGAGGAAATTGTTGACTTTTAAGTTGATAGTTCCATACTAATCGTTGTAACGGTGTCAATTTATAATAGATGGCGGAAAAAATTGCTTTGTTGTGTCCCAGGAGCGTGGTGTGCATGTAGTCTACGACAATCGAGTCTGGTAGCTTAACATCTAGTAAATCTTGAAGGATACTTTTACCTAAATGACCGTTCACTCTTGTTTTTGTTTGATCAGCTTCAATTGATTCATGTAAATATGTTAACGTGTCACGTAATTTTAATTGTCGTTGATAAGAATATTGAAGTTTTCCATTTGTATGTTGACCGTATATATAACACAGCCAACAGCAATCATATCCGCCGTGACCGATGAAATTCAAAATTTTCTTTAGTGCGGGACAATCACCAGTAATTCCATAAGCTTTTAAATTATAATTTTTCTTTTTATCTTTCACCATTATGTCTAAAGAAAAGAAAGCGATAAATTTAAACAATGGAAAAACGTACACATTAATGGTCGTAGTAAGAAAAAGATATGGAAGACCCAAATTTTTAAGTATTCATATGAAAAAAAAGACTGACGATTACGAGTGAAAAACAAATGCTACAAATTTTAGGTTCGAGCAACTTTTCAGGCTGATACCATGTATCCACCACTTGCTCTAAGATTATGAAAAAGATACTTCATTGATTGTCTTTGTTTGTTTCCTCAAATAGACACATACCTTGAGATTTCAAATACTTCAATTCATTCACAATTGATTTAAGCCAAATATCTGGTTGCGGTTCAGTATATCCGACCCATATTGACATCGGTATCATATTATATCGTCGATATCGAAGCTTTGATGGTAATTCAATAATCGATCCACTAAAAAGCCACAGCTTTAGCTTGGTCGATTTAGTCAATCCGACCTCATCAAGATGTAGTAATAAGCTGATTAAATTTTCTTTTTGATTCTGTTTTAACAATTGTTGATATAAACGCCGAAATGGAATATCACCAGCTTTCTCTTTGTCATCATTATAATTAATTTGTTCTTTGTAATCATCAATGTTTTTTTCTAATCGTTCCAAAATTGTTTTTAATATTCGTTGAATATCAAGATCATAAATATTGGCGATGGTTTTTTATCTAAAGATTGACATAATAAACACTGTGTCGCATTGTAATTCAAATTTTCATTGCACAATATACAAATAGAGCGCTTTGTAAACAAATTTTCAACATTTAATAATAACAATAGTTCTTCTATGGTTGATGGAACATTGTTCGGTACAGGTAGAAATGATTTTATCATTTTTAATAATAATGTTGAATGTGACTTGTTAATGCTTGCTTTGCGTAGAAAAGAGGACAAATATTCACAATAGTCTAGCATTGAAATATTGGTATAATTGTGTAAACCTGAAGTTATTAGTTTCTGATTTTGATCATCAGTATTATTTGATTGCATACATTCTTCATCAACTTCCATATTAAGATCATAATTGTTCGAATGATCATCGTCTTCTTCCATTCTAGACACTGTTACACAATCATTTGTGTGTTGATTTTCAATATTACTGTCATTGTCTAATACTGAATGAACATCATAATAAATCACAGGTTCATCTTGTTGATGTGTTACTGAATTTGCGTTTTTTTCTTGATGAAAAACAACTTGTTTGCGCTCAGTTGTTGTTGGTATCGTTGACTGTAGAAACAAATCGAATTTATTTATTCGCCGTTGGGTTCTTGCTCTTTCATTTTTCATATCTAGTCGTTTTCGTCGCTTTTGTTCAGCATGTTCAATGGCTTTTTCTTTTTCTCTTGTCGTATACATTTTAGATCTAAAATTTCTAAAATAAGAAAAAAGAAAATGAACCGTTAAGTTTTCAATAATGTCCAAATTTCATCTTGTTAATTTTCGCAATAAAAGAGAGAATACAACAATGGTTTCAAAGTCGACTAAATCACTTATGCCTAGTCAGCAGAGAAAAGACAAACGAATTTAGTTTAACTCCCGATATATTCGTTTCTACTATTCTTTGTTCTTTTGTCTAAATGTCTTTGTTTGGAATTCACAATTGGAAACTAACCAGTGGCGTAGCCAGGGGGGTGGCCATTGGGCAATTGCCCAACGGTTAAAAATTTATTGCCCAATAGATTTTTTAGGCAATAGCAATGGCCCAACACCGAAAAATATTGATATACATGCA